GTCAGTCCGGGGCCAGTCCGGGGTCAGTCCGGGGTCAGTCCGGGGTCAGTCCGGGGTCAGTCCGGGGTCTGGGGTCAGTCCGGGGTCAGTCCGGGGTCAGTCCGGGGTCAGTCCGGGGTCAGTCCGGGGTCAGTCCGGGGTCAGTCCGGGGTCAGTCCGGGGTCAGTCGGGGGTCAGTTCGGGGCCAGTCTGGGCTCCGTGCGGGGTCCGTCTGGGCCGGGGTCAGTCCGGGGTTGGTCCAGGGTCGGATCCGGGGTTTGCCTGAGGTCTGTCCAGGGTCTGTCCGGGGTCAGTCTGGGGCCAGCCTGGGTCAGTCCCGGAGTGACCTGCAAGATTGACCGTGCAGACCGACCCTTGAATGACCCGTGTGTATATGGAGCCTGGTCGGATCGAATTCAGCGCAGCCGAGCCGACCGCCACATTAGGTGCACGCGTATGTGGGAGCGCCCGAGTTGAAAGGAGAGCGGAGAGTATTTTAATGCATGGGAAATGAAAATGCAAGCGGGCCGATCTAGTTTTCGGAATTGCAGAAGTCGGGGACCGAAACTTCCGATCTAGTAAAGCCGAGACCTAGTTTCACCGATTCTATTTTCAACGAGCGGAGTGTATATTCACCCTGTCGCCCCCCCTGGGCCAGACAATAGAGCGGCCTTGGCGTTTCGCCTGAGACTCCTTCACCATTTGTAATTCTGAAGCTTTTTTTTCAGCAGTTTCACATATGCAGGGCGGGTGGTTTTCAAACTGTGGCTCTCGCCTTTAGCGCGGCGAACAGGTTTTGTTATCACAAACTTGCAAGAGCTTGATGGATTGAGGGCGGGGCGTTTTCAACATGTGGTTCCCGCTTTAGCGCGGCGCGCATTCTTTCTAAACAGTTGCAAGAGCTTCACGGATTGAGGGCGGGTCGTTTTCAAAATGTGGCTCTTCGCCTCAGCGCGGTGCGCACTCGTCAAACCATGCAAGAGTTTCACGAACAGAGGGCAGCTATGTTTCAACATGTGGCTCTCGCCTTAGCACGGCGCACATTCGTTCACAGTAGTTGCAAGTGTTTCACGGGTTCCCATCATCAACGTACCAGAAATTGTGTTTTGAACGGACTCAAGATTATGCGGGGGTAACAGTTACGTTGATTCGCTGTGTCGAAGCCCCAGGAATGGCGTTCTCGAACGATTCAGGATCGTCCAGAAGCAATAGTCAGTTTCACCCGTGGCTTTGGAATCCCGAGAGCAATGTTCTGGCATGCTCCAAGAGTCTCAAACGGCTTCTTCGAACGAGGCAGTTCCCTCAATGGACATGGACCGTTGTAGGGGCCTATGAAGAGGGAGCTTGGAGGGAGGGTTTATTCCAACATCGCTGATGACTCTTGGATTTGCACTGGTCCTCCTCCTTCTCCCTCTCAGGGCCATCCTTCCAGCGTCGGCCGCTGGTAGGCGATAGTTCGCATCCAAGAGCCTGCAGAGGTCACCAGGACTGCTGAGTGACAGAGGCTCGCAATGGTTGATTGATTGATTGATTCTTCTCCCGTCTCCTCCTCCTCCTCCTCCTCCTCCTCCTCCTCTCCTCCTCCTCCTCCTCCTCCTCCTCCTCCTCCTCCTTTCCTCCTCCTCCTCCTTTTGTCCTCCTCGTCGTCGTCCTCCTCCTCCTCCTCCTCCTCCTCCTCCTCCTCCCCCTCCACCTCCTTCTCCTCCTCCTGTCCTCCTCCTTCCCCCCTCCTCCTCCTGTCTTCCTCCTTCCCCCTCCTCCTCCTCTTCCTCCTCCTCCTCCTCCTATTCCTCCTCCTCCTCCTCCTCCTCCTCCTCCTCCAGCCGCCGACGCGGCCCAGACCCCCCCTTCCAGAGGCGGCCCGCCGAGGACCGCCCCGCTGCAATGGAGGCAGCCGCGGCCCGCAGGCGCTGACTCCTGTGTGCCGCCCCCTGGCGGGGGGCAGGCGGCACTCCGGCGGCCCACGTGCTCGTTGTGTGCCCCAGTGGGGCTGGCGGACTCGCATGCTAAAGCGGTTCCTCCTCCCCCTCGTCGGCACCGTCTACGCCGAGCGCTGGAGTTTCGGGGGGTGCTGGGAACCCCACCCGCTGGACACGGCGCACCGCCCCGAGGAGGCCTCCGCGGTGTTGCGCAACGTCGGGGTCTTCGGCTTGCCTGGCACGGGCGTGCGAGTACGGCAAGGTGAAGCCCACCGCGCGCCATCGGCGCCTTACCACCACAACGTGTTGTTCGGCTGGGCTCGGTGTCGCCTTGTCACGAAGGCTGGCGGCTGCGCTATCAAGATCAACAAGATTCGGTTCGCCAAGAAGGAGCTCAGGCGGATCGCCGCCCCACCCCCCGCTCTGCTTGGGCGTGGCGGCCCCGCGCACGGTTTGTCGGGGCCCGTCGTGGTCGTGACGATGGAGCAGTACTTCTCCCCGAAGCCGAGCGAGGGCGGAGGCGTCAATGTCTACAGGGGCACGTGCGACCTGCTACGCAGGTGGGCGAAACAGGTGGCCTTGAAGACCCCGCAGAGGTACACGCCCGTGACCCGCATGGACCCTGACTCGGGCCTGGTGGATAAGGCGAACTCCGACGTCGAGGGCGCGCTCGGGGCCGAGAAGGAGACGGCGTGCGGGTCCGCCGTCCGCGAGTGGCTGCCCACCGTCGGGCGCTTCGCTACCAACACCCACTATGTTTGTCGCCAAACCTTCGAGGGGACCAACGGCACCAGCCAGAACGACTACGTCTGCACCCCCGCAGCGGCGGCGCCGCTGGCCTCCTGGACGAAGGCGTGGAGGCGATCGGCCCAGGCGGGGTGGCCCTTGACTGCTGTGCTGGACCGCACCCCCGCCGTGCTGAAGATGAAGATGGCGCAGCCGATCGTGGGCGAGGGCCGCGAGGCGTTCCAGGACGAGCTCTAAAACGAGCTTGCGTCTCACCGCGCGTCCTTCGTGGTGCCTGTGAGCTGCGTGGATACTGCGGGCCGCGCGGCGTTGCTGATCAACCTAATCCGCATGACGGCGCTGATGCGCTTCTCCCAGGCTGTCGCGTACAACGCGCTAGTCGCCCGCTTGACGAGTGAGAGGTGGAGGTTGCTGAAGGCCCGCTGGTATATGTTGAGAGATGTGCTTGCTGCGGCGGTGGCGGCTGAAGCGACAACGACTGTGGAGGTGGCCAAGCTGAGGGTGGCGTCCAAGGCGCACACGAAGACCTCGAAGTCGGTGCCCGTGTGGGTGCTGTTCCTGGTGCTCCCCCAGCTGTGTGGTGGCATGGCGGGCGAATTGGTGACTGCCCCGTGGTGTGCTGCGCCCACCGAGGAGAGGTACAAGCAGCTGAAGGACGCCGACGCGATTGCGAGACCCGACAACTATGAGGTCCCCGTTTGTGTGCGGGTGCAGGCGCTGATGCACTACAAGTTGACGGCCAGGGTGTCCTTCTGGCTCTTCGGGCTGGCGCTGCGGGGGAGGGGGATGGAGACCTTGCCGCACCTGGCCTCCCTCTCGTTCGGGTACGCGCCTGGCATGAAGAACGGGGAGGCTGGACCTGCTAGGCGCCGAATGCTGCTCGCCTGGTGTCTGCGGTGGAGGGCGTGCACTCGTTGACCGCGGTGGAGGTGTGGCACTTTTTGCCCCCCCGTGGGCCCTCGCCTGCAGAAGGAGGAGGAGGGAGCTCCTGATGATCGCGACGAAGGGACTTCATTGTGGCCAGCCCATGCCCCGTAAGAGCTACGACGCGACGGAGGAGCCCGCTTGCGACCTGAAGGACCAGCTGGAGGAGGGCGTGCATGGCGGGCTGGCGGGGGAGGTGGAAAACACGGATGTTGATATCTGTTACGCCACCGCTGTGACGCGTACGAGACGAAGCCGCCTCACGGTGATCATCGACGCCGCTGATGACAGGTGCGCGGTTCGCAGCGGCAGTGGCGGCTTCTTGGGCGACACGTCGGAGCCCGAGTTTTCCATGGAGAACTACCATCATGCGGTCCGCGCCTGGTCCGCCTTGAAGCGGATGAGGGACGGGGCGAAGACGGCCAAGGACGCGAACGGCAAGCCCGTGGCGGCCTGGGCGGACCTGGACGCGGCCGCCGCCTCTCTCGCGCTGTACGGGCTCGGCTCCCCGACGGCGACGATGTTCTGTGCGACGGTCGAGACGCTCGCTGGGGAGGAGGTCGGGCGTGCCAACAGACAGACGCTCGAGGCGGCGTTCATGGACATGGTTGGCGACTCGCCCGACTTCGTCAAGCTGCGCAGGTTCGTGGATTGCCACCAGGAGGACATGGTCATGATCGTGTCCGCGATCAACGACCAGACCAAGGAGAACATCCTCACGGACTCGTTCAAGCAGCTCGGCTGTGTGGCCACGTCGGCCACTGCGCCCGCTGGGTTCATGGAGGACGAGCCCTCGGCCTGGATCGACGTGCTCAAATCGTGATGAGGGGAACATCGGTGGGAAGGGCTCCAGGAGGCCGAACTACCCCGTCTGCCTCGTGGTGGACTACTGCTCTGACGTGTGGCCGCGCACAACGCCGCGCCTTTGAGCGCGGCAGTGCTGCCGTGGCACCAGGAAAAAGATGGTAACGGCCTGAGGCCGTGGACAGCGGGCAGCCTCGTACAGTTTTGTCGTGTGCATGCGTGTGCGGCGCGGCGCGTGCGGCAGGCGTGTGTGCATCTGGTAACATTGCTCATCAGCTGCGTACTCCTCCTCCTCCTCCTCCTCCTCCTCCTCCTCCTCCTCCTCCTCCTCCTCCTCCTCCTCCTCCTCCTCCTCCTCCTCCTCCTCCTCCTCCTCCTCCTCCTCCTCCTCCTCCTCCTCCTCCTCCTCCTCCTCCTCCTCCTCCTCCTCCTCCTCCTCCTCCTCCTCCTACTCCTCCTCCTCTTTCTCGTCCTCCTCCTCCTCCTCCTCCTCTTCCCCCCCCCCCCCCTCCTCCTCCTCCTCCTCCTCCTCCCTCCGCCTCCTCCTCCTCCTCCTCCTCCTCCTCCTCCTCCTCCTCCTCCTCCTCTCTCCTCCTCCTCCTCCTCCTCCTCTGCGCGCAGCCGGAGGCCGCCCGTGGCCTCGCGCTGTGGCAGGCCGCCTCCGAGCAGGACGCGCGGGCGCGGGGCGCGCAGCGGGATGCCCCGGCCGGCGGCGAGGGGGCCGCGGTGCGCGGCGCCGCCCCGGAGGCGGGCGGTGGCCGCCGCTCGTGATGGGCCTGTTTTCCACCACTGCCATCACACGTCGGAGCGGGGGAGGAGGAGGAGGGGGAGGAGGAGGGGGAGGAGGAGGGGGAGGAGGGGGAGGAGGAGGAGGAGGAGGAGGAGGAGGAGGAGGAGGAGGAGGAGGGGGAGCAGGAGGAGCAGGAGGAGGAGGAGGAGGAGGAGGAGTAGGAGGAGGAGGAGGAGGAGGAGGAGGAGGAGGACCCCGTCCCCCTCCTACTTATGGTGGTGGTGGTGGTGGTGGAAAGCAAGCCGACCAGCTCGTGCAGGGCTCGTGTCGTGCCGATTCGGTTTCGATGTGGATTCCGATGCCGATGTTCGGTGCGGCTTCGGGTGCCGATGCGGGCGCCGATGTCCCAGGGAGGCCCACATAGTAGCCAACCGATGTCTGCCGATTCGACTTTGCCCGACTCGGCTGCCCGATTCCCGCCGGTCCGAGTCATGTCGATCGCCGATCTCCGACTTGGCGACTCGATACTGGGCTCTCCCGAGCCCGAGGAAGGACATCTCGAGCGAGAGCCGTCCTTGTACAGGGACGGGCTTGAATAAGGAACATCTACTTTTCAAAAGAGGCTCGGTCGTTCCTTTGGTTTGCATGCGTTCCGCTACCTTTCCGGCGGCGAGCCCCCTGGTGTTCCTTCGGACTTCCAGATATACGTGGAAATAAAGGGGCATCGTTTTTGATGTTTCGTTCTTAGGTCAGGCCGGATATTGTAGCGATTGCGTCCTTTGCGGCGGCGAGCGAGGGGGGGGAAGTTTCGGGTTCGGGCTTCGAGGTCTTCGAACGTTTTCGTCGGTACTCGACGGTTTTCCAGCCTCCGTGTGCGTGCTTGCGTTGGCGCCTCGGCGAGAGCTTTCGGGGGGGGAGGGAGGTGTCGGGGATCGTCCCGAGCGGCCGCCGGAGACCCGAGTCATATGGCCCAAAAACCACAGTCGGCGGCGCGCCTGGGGGGAAGCGAGAAGGAGAAGAGCAGTCCTTCTCAGAAGGCGACGGGACTCCTCAGATGCCCTCGCGCCTTCGAGAAGTTTCTCGCTTCTTCGGGGAAGGCTAAGGTTTAGGACACTTCTCAGGAGGCCAGGGGACTTCCGAGCCTTCTGAGAAGGCCCGCCCCTGCGGACTTCCCCCCCCATGGACTCGCCGCCGAGTGGGGCCGCGAGGCCGTTAATGCTATCCAGGCCGCCCGGGCGCTCAAGTAAGAACCATTTGGGGCTCTCTCCTCGTCCTCCTCTCGTCGTCGTCCCCCTTCTCCGTTTCCCCATCCCAGTGCGGCTCCGTTTCACCGGCCAGTAGCGCAAGCTGCCCCCGAGGTTGTGAGCCTTGCCTTCGCACTGCTTTATGACTGCCCGCATTTCCGCCCCTATCACCCCGCTCGTGTCTCAGTATTTCTGATGCGCTCGCTTGCGGAGGCTGTTGTCGCTGGGGTGTCCAGTCTCCTCCCCCAAAAAAACTTTTGGGCTCAGGCGGAGCTCTGATTTTCAGGCCGTTCCTTAGGTCTTGGTCGGGGAACCTAGTCGCAGCCGAGGCTCGCCGCGGCTAGGACAGCCCCTTCGTTCCTCATCCAGCGTTTCTTGTAGCAGCGCCATGACTTTAGAGATGGGGTCGGAGGATCGCGCCGCATCGCCGCTGCGTCGGCGATGCGTCTCGAGATGGGGCCCCATTTTCTCCGCGCCGACGGCGCCGGCGCATCGCCAGCGTCACCGATGCATCGCCGATGCGTCGGCGATGCGTCGTGGTTGCGGCGGGGTCCTCCGACCCCATCTGCTGGGACCCCATTGGTCAGGAGGGAACAAAAAACACACACAGACGCAATTATTCGTCGATTCCCTGCAAGATATGGGACAATATGGGAAGTGAGGGGGAAGACAAACACCCAGAAAATACGGGAACATACGTGGAACCTTGTTTTTTGTGTTTGTTTAATTGTGTGCCTCAGGGCCCCCCGTCAGTTCTGCGGTTGTGCGGTTGCGGTCCGGAGTTCTGGTTTAGCGTGCGGCGCCGCCGGTGCTGGCCCACCACCGCCGTGCTTCGGCGCACGACACGCTGCCCACGTCCCGGTCTCCAGAGGTCCGCGTCTCGAGCTTGCCCGAGCCTCCCGGCCCGTGGAGCGGAGCGATGCGGTATCCACTCGCATTAGGTCGGGCTGGTCCCTCTACAGGAGGAAAGTTCAAACATAGTCAAACAATATCACGGGGATGTTTGTTTGAATATTTCGAAGACCTTACGGCCGGTGCCGCCGACCCTGCAGACGGAGACTACGACCAGGACAAGGGATTTGAGGAGCAGGAGGCGGAGGACGTCAGGGAGCAGGAGGGGGGAAGGGGAGGAGGAGGAGGAGCAGGAGCAGGAGAAGGAGCAGGAGGAGGAGCAGGAGGAGGAGGAGGAGGAGGAGGAGGAGGGGAACAGGAGGAGGAGGAGGAGGGAGGAGGAGGAGGAGGAGGAGGAAGCAGGAGGATGGGGGAGGAGGAGGAGAGGGGGGAAATGAATAGGAGCAGGACGAAGCGAGCAGGGCCGCATGGTGCAGGTCCTCGGGGCTGGGTCTTGGAGGGTCCCAGGGACCTCGGAATTCTAGGCCCTGGGGTGTCCCGTGGCCGAGCGTTCAGGGGGCTGGTTCGGTTCTGGAGGGGGACGGAGGAAAGAGGAGAGATGAGGATGCAGGGAGGAGGGGGGAGGGAGGAGAGGGCGTGGTAGAATGCCTCGGCTCTTGGCCCGTCTGAGGCTTTGTGTGGGCCCCAGGACCACCAGGGGGGGAGTCGTATCTGACGCGGGACCCCCCCCGGGACCCCCCCCGGGCCCCCCCCCCCCCCCCACGGCAGGAAAGGGATCAAAGGGAAGGGTCTTCCCGTCGTTTCAATGACAACGTTGCTCTTGAGGGGGAGGCCCTGGAAAAGCGGGGGGGGGAGCGGCGACGGGCCCAGGGAAGAGAGGGACAGGGGAGGAGGGGAGACGGGCCCAGGGAACGGGGGGGCGCAGGGACAGGAGACGACTGGCCCAGGGAAAGGGTGGGCGCAGGGACAGGAGACGACGAGGACGACGACGAACGAACGATGGGAACGGACAAGCCCCTCACACACGCCGGCACAGGGTCGGCGGATTAGGGTGCGTCTGCGCGCGCGTTTGTCCGTAGTGCGCGCGCGTGTTCATTGCGCGTGTGCGTGCGTGTTCATTGGATCCACCTCCTGTCTCCGAGCGTGCTGTGTCCGAGCGTGCTGGATCCAGCTCCTGTCTCCTTTGTGTCCTCTTCGTTCTTCTCCTGCTCCTCGTTCTCCTTCTGCCGCTCTGCGTGCGTCGGCGCGGACGTGTTTGTCCGTCAGCAGTGGGGGTGATTATTTGACTATGTTTGAACATTTGTAGAGTATTTTGGGGGATTAAACAAACATCGGCCACAATCCGCCTGTAGGGGAACATGCCCGACCTAACAGTAGCAAGGTATAGCGTGTCGACGGGGCCGCCGCCGCGACACGCTATCCAGAAATCAGCCTGGCGAATGACCCAACCATCTGCAGGTGCGAATGCCATTGTTGTTAGTATCGCCTTCGGTGGATCTCCTTTCATTGGGCCACGAATCGCGTGAAGAGTGTGCCGAAATGGTCCGGGCCGCCATGCGGGCGCTGCTACTGGGGCCTGATGTAGAGCCCTTTTCTGGGACCACGAAGCGTGTGAGGGGTGTGCCAGGATGGGGCGGCGCGGCCATGCGGACTGCGCCACTGGGACCTTAGGTGGAGCTCCCAGTGGGGCCACGAAACGTGTGAGGGGTGTGGCAAAATGGCGCGGCGCCGCCATGCGGACTGCGCCACTGGGACCTTAGAGATGGAGCTCCTTATGGGGCCACGAAGCGTGCGAGGGGTGGGCGGCGCCGCCATGCGGACTGCGCCACTGGGACCTTAGGTGGAGCTCCCTATTATGCCACAGAACGTATGACGGGTGTACAGGATGGGGCGGCGCCGCCATGCGGACCCGGACCTTAAGCTGGAGCTCTTACGGTGCCACGATGCGTGTGAGGGGGTGTGCCAGTGTACCAAGATGAGGCGGCGCCGCCGTGCGGACTGCGCCACTGGGACCTTGGGTGGAGATTCCTATGGTGCCACGAAACGTGTAAGGGGTTTGACGAAGACGATGACGATGTTGATGATGATGATGATGATGATGATGATGATGATGATGATGATGATGATGATGATGATGATGATGATGATGATGATGATGAGAAAGGAGGGAGGGGGGGGAGGAGGAGGAGGAGGAGGAGAGAAGAAGAAGGAGAACGCGGGGCCGTCTCGTCAAAACGAGGACCCAACACCACAATACGGTTGGGAATTATTGACGTTCGCGTATCCCCACCAGCCCATCCAGAAACGATCAGAGGCTGTCTTGAGGCCTCTTGGAGGCTATCTTGAGCCATGCTCGACTAGATGCTGTCGGGGGCTATATTGAGCCATGATCAGCTATCTTGGGCCATCTTGAAGTTGCCTTGAGGCCTCTTGGAGCTTTGTCGGAGGCTCTATTGAGCCATGCTCGACCTCTTGGCGTCCTCTTGTGGGGTAGGAGGGGGATGGTGAGGACACGGAGAAGGAGCAAGAGAGAAGGATGAGGAGGAGGAATACTAATAATACGAAGAGGGGGAGGGGGAATGCAACACGAGGATGATGATGATGATGATGATGATGATCATCATCATGATGCTGATGCTGCTGATGCTGATGCTGATGCTGATGCTGATGATGATGATGATGATGATGATGATGATGATGATGATGATGATGATGATGATGATGATGATGATGAGCGCCGGCGCCCATAGGGGCATCTCAGTCCACCCAGGCTCGGCGACTACGGAGGGTACGGGGACCCGTCGGTCGATGAAAGTGGGCAGTCACAAAAGGGAAAGGTACTCTCTACCTCCACCCCCATCGCTCGTTTTCCCATGTTTGGACCTCCTAGGAGGCCCTCGTCGCCACCGCTGGATTCGCCTCGAAATCCTGGTCAGAACGCGCCCCGAGAGAGGTCCAGGGAGTAGCAGTGTCGGTACCTTTTGGTCTCCCCAATTCTGGGCTGGGGTTCCCAGACCCCCGTCTTATTCTAGAGCCTCCCAGCTTCAGGGATCGGTATGCTTCTGCTGCGTTTTCTGGTATTCTCTTAGAGGGCTCGGGCCCATGGCTGCTTGATCCGCCTCCCTGCTTCATGTGTTTACCTTCTTCTTCCGACTGACGTGTACGCCAGCGTGTGGTTTGCGATCGGCGCCGTTGGGGCCTGGGGAGCACGGCGCTGCCCTCGGGCGGGCCTCCTCGAGAGGCGCGGCGCGGCGGAGAACTCTGTCGAGGTCCCCGCCCGCCTCGGGATGCCCCCCCCAGGGCTTCCCGGGGCGAGTCGTACCCTTGGCAAGCCACACCCTTTCGGAGTCGCCGATTCGAGTCGGGGCTGCGCTCCTGGTGCCCCAGCAGGAGGGGTCGTAGGACCGCGCCGGGTCGCCGAGGCATCGGCCATGCGGCGCGATTCGGAGCCTGACGTGCGGCGTCGTGCATCGGCGGCGCGGTGCTGTCTGGCCCCCCTTTGCTCTGGCCCAATTGTTGGGGAGGCCTTCGTGCGAGTACTGGATCGATTACAGAATTGATTTGCACCAGAATTACTTGTCTCGTCGAATCTACGGACAAATACTCAGAGTCTTCAGTAGATGCACGAGCATTCTACGTATTCGTCGTAGCTTCGATGGGGCATATCAATTTGGGGGTACATCGATTCTGTAGTCGATCCTCTGCTCGATTCGTGAGGAGCTCCTTTCATTGCAAGCAGTGTTTGGGAAAGCGTCCGGGGTCGAATTGGGAAGGGGCAGGCTTGCCCAGAAGGCTGCGGGGCTCCTCTCAGAGGCCCTCCAGCCTTTCAGCCGTTTGCTGTGTTCGGGGAAGGCTTCGAGACTCGGTCGCCCTGGCACGTCCGTGCTGATGCGCAGCACGTGCCGCGCTGAAGGCGTCAGTGCCAACACGCTGCACGTTGGGTCGGCACGTGCTGGCCCACGTTTTGGCGAGCGCATCGCGCCAGACCCACGCACTCAGTCTGTGTCTGTCTGGCAGAGCCACTCGGGCAATCCTCGCGGCCATGCCTGGCTACCAGATCCTCTGGTGTGGTGCCGTGGTCAGGTCACAGCGGCGTCCACCGGGCAAGTCAACAAATCCTCTGGTCCGAGGTCGGACGAAAAATGGTATGCCTGAAGTGATCCAGACAGGTTGCGTGACACATACCATACATGGTGAGAAGATGCGAACAGCAATGCCGTAACGTTCGTGATAAGGTACGGCGGTGCTGGCCCACGCTGGTGGCGTGAGCTAGCCAAACAAAAAACAACCTACGTACTCTCAGGAGCGAAAGAACGACGTACATGTACATGAATCCACGCTGGTTTCGAGAGTTCGCATTGCGCGAATGTTTGTATCGCGCGGCAGGTCTCGCGGGTCAAGGGGCCGTGTTCATGTACATAGCTGGGCGCGTACGTCCTTTGTGTGCTCCCTATGCTCAGTCTGCGTGTAAAGCTCCGTGCCGACACGCTACGGGCTGCGTGCTGCGCATCGGGGCAGCCGAGCTTCGACAGCTTCTCAGAAGGCCGCCGAGGCCGTCCGAGCGGCCCGGGGCTTTCCCCGAGCCTTCTGAGCAGGCCCGCCCCCTCGGACCTCTTCCCCCCCCCGGGGGCTCGCCGCGAGCGGATGCACACGGGTGCCTTGGTCCTCCCTCCGAGCGCAGTGCTTCGTGAAAAGGCCAGTGGGTGCAAGCCCCCCGGGAGCGGCCTCGCGGTCGCCCAGTGCCCAGGTGGAGGGAGAGGGAGAGGGAGAGGGAGAGGGAGAGTGAGGAGGAGGAGGAGGATGATGTGGAGGAGGGAGAGAGGGAGAGTGAGGAGGAGGAGGAGGAGGAAGAGGAGGGGGAGGAACGACGCAACAAGCCCCGTTCGTCATCATCTGATCGATGATCAACGTCAAAAAGGGGATAAGACGCTGCTGGGAACCGTCGCGCAGAGCTCTGGACGGCCACCTGAGAATGGGGAGGCGCTGACCTCCCCTCGGTGCAACAAGGACGTGCCTCGCCCACCCGAGGGATCGCGGCGGCGGCACGCAGCACAGCGACAGCAGCAGCAGCAGCGGGCGGCGCGGGGCCCACCTCGGTGCCGAAGTTGAGCAGGGCGAGCCACGGGGCGCGCGCGCACGCGCGCGCCTCTCTCGAAACTCTCCGAGCCGCTCGACCGCTACGAACAAAAAACAAACGAGTTGAAAAACGAGCACCAGGGAAGAAAGTTTGAGACCAGGAGCCCGCCTCGGCCAGCATGGGCCGAGATCCAGAAGCAAAAAGCCCAGGGAGCCCACGGACAGATCCAGAGGGAGCGTCCACGGGCCCAGGCATTCTGCTAGCTCCCTCGCAACTCTCTGAGTAACCTCAACCAGTCGACTTCAGGATCGGCTGAGGTGAGAGGACGAGGGGCTGGGATCGCTCTCGAATTGGGCCTCCCCTCATCGCAGGGATGCAATCCAGCAAGGAAGAGGCGGCGATTCCGACGAGCGTGCTCGCCCAACCTCGGGGGCGGGGCCCGATCTCGAGCCTGCGAGGGCTCAGGGCCGACGCGGCTGCTGAGAAAAGGCGTACGCTGCGCCGAGTGGCGGGGGCCCAACGGGGGCCCCAGGAGGGCCCCGAGAGGGTGCAGGAGGCCTCCGAATGGGCCGCAGGAGGAGGAGGAGTGGAGGAGGAGGAGGAGGAGGAGGAGGAGGAGGAGGAGGAGGGAGAGGGGGTAGGAGGGAGTCAGGAGAGCAGGAGGAAGGAGGGGAGGAGGGAAGGTGTTTGGGAGGGAGAGGGAGGAGTGAGAGGGAGGAGGGGAGGAGGGAAGGGAGGAGGGAGGAGGAGGAGGGAGGAGGGATTAGGGAGGAGGGAGGAGGGAGGAGGGAGAGGGAGGAAGATACGGAGGACGGAAGGAGGGAGGGAAGGGAGGAGGGAGGATGGAGAGGGAGGAGGAGGAGGAGGAGGGAGGAGGGGGAGGGAGGAGGGAGGGAGGAGGAGGAGTAAGGAGGAGGTGAGGATAGGAGGAGGAGGAGGAGGAGCAGAGATCTGCAAAGGCCTTGAATGGTAGACCTCGTCGTCGCGCGCCGCCTGGCCGCGTTGTCGTGTTGTCGCCTTCGCCCGCCGCCGCCGCCGCGCCGCCGCCGCCGGCGCCGCCGTCGTCGTCGTCGTCGTCGTCGTCGTCGTGGTCGTCGTCGTCGTCGTCGTCGTCGTCGTCGTCGTCGTCGTCTCCGATTTTGTCGTGAACAATCTGGAGTGGTTCAGTGTCGCTTCGACTACTGCGCGGGTGAACCTTGAGATCAGCTTCTTGACAGGATGTGAGCTGGCATGCTCCCTGCATGGAGTCTTGCCAGTGTGGGCGCTCCGTCCCCCAACCCTCTGAATCCCCTCGTGCCGACCCTTGCACGCAGGCCCCCGACCTGCCTTGTCTTTGCCTCTGCCCTGGCGCTCCGTTCCTGGCCGCTGCCCCCTTGCGTTACGCCAGGCCTGTCCCCATACAGGAGGAGTATCCAAAAATAGCCACATTGTGATATGGGGACGATGGGTTGTACTATGTTTGATCATTTCTATATAAAGCCAAAAGCTTTGTTCTATTTTTCGCCTAACGACGATTTGTTTGTACAATGTTTGCTTATGTATATGTAAAACCAGAAAACTAGTTTGTACTTTTCGTGCGAAATCCGCCTGTTGGGGGACATGCCCGACCTAACCCTTGCGAGCTCTCCCGGCCCCCGCGCCCGGCAGGCGGAGGCGGAGGCGGAGGACGAGGAGCGGCGGCGCGCCTAGGGGGGGAAGCGAGAAGGGGCGGGCCCTCGCAGAAGGTGCGGGAGCCCCCCTGGCCTTCGGAGACGTTCTCTGAGCCTTCCCCGACGACGCAACACATCTTTCGGGAGGCCAGGGGCCTTCTGAGGAGCCCCGCCGCCTTCTGGGGAGGCCCTCCTCTCCTCGTTTGCCCCCCCGCGCTGGCCGCCGAGAGGAGTCGTTGAAGGCGGCAGCCAGGGGCGCGCTGGCGAACGTGCTGTGCACGGTCGAGGACCAGGAGGACGCGGGCCGCCCTCCGCCCTCCGCTCCTCCGCCGCCGCCGCCCCGCCGCACACTTGCCCTCGCCCACCCCCCAGTTCCCCCTCCTCCTCCTCCTCCTCCTCCTCCTCCTCCTCCTCCTCCCTCTTCCTCCACCTCCTCCTCCTCCCTCCTCCTTCTCCTTCTCCTCCTCCTCCTCCTCCTCCTCCTCC